TCAGTCACATTATACTGACACGGGGGAAGACATCCCACTCAGTCACATTATACTGACACGAGGGAAGACATCCCACTCAGTCACATTATACTGACACGAGGGACCACATCCCACTCAGTCGCATTATACTGACACGGGGGACCACATCCCACTCAGTCACATTATACTGACACGGGGGAAAACATCCCACTCAGTCACATTATACTGACACGGGGGACCACATCCCCCTCAGTCACATTATACTGACACGGGAGAAAACATCCCACTCAGTCACATTATACTGACAAGAACGAAGCCATCCCACTCAGTCACATTATACTGACATGGGGGACCACATCCCACTCAGTCACCTTATACTGACACGAGGGAAGACCTCCCCCTCAGTCACATTATACTGACACGAAGGACGACATCCCACTCAGTCACATTATACTGACACCGGGGGACCACATCCCACTCAGTCACATTATACTGACACGGGGGACGACCTCCGACTCCGTCACATTATACTGACACGGGGGACCACATCCCACTCAGTCACTTTATACTGACACGAGGGACGACATTCCACTCAGTCACATAATATTCCACACAGTCACTTTATATTGACACGAGGGACGACATCCCACTCAGTCACATTATACTGACACGGGGGACCACATCCCACTCAGTCACATTATACTGACACCGGGGGACCACATCCCACTCAGTCACATAATACTGACAAGAATGACGTCATCCCACTCAGTCACATTATACTGACACGAGGGACGACATCCCACTCGGTCACATTATACTAATACGCGGGACGACATCCTACTCAGTCACACTATACTAACACGGGGGTTGTTATCCCACTCAGTCATATTATACTGACAGGAATGACGACATCCCAGTCAGTAACTTTATAATGACAAAAAGGATGACATCCCACTCAGTCACACTATATTGACACGATGGACGACATTCCACACAGTCACTTTATATTGACACGAGAGACGACATTCCACTCAGTCACATTATATTGAAACGAGGGACGACATTCCACTCAGTCACATTATATTGACACGAGGGACCACATCCCACTCAGTCACTTTATATTGACATATTGACACGATAGACGACATTCCACTCAGTCACTTTATACTGACACGAGGGACGACATTCCACTCAGTCACTTTATACTGACACGAGGGACGACATCCCACTCAGTCACTTTATATTAACACGAGGGACGACATTCCACTCAGTCACATTATACTGACACGAGGGACGACATTCCACACAGTCACTTTATACTGACACGAGGGACGACATTCCACTCAGTCACTTTATACTAACACGCGGGACGACATCCCACTCAGTCACATTATACTGACACGAGGGACGACATCCAACTCAGACACTTAATACTGACACGAGGAACGACATCCCACTTAATCACAATATACTGACACGAGGGACGACATCCCACTAAGTCACTTTATACTGATACTAGGGAAGACACTCCACTTAGTCACATTATACTGACACGAGGGACGACACTTCACTCAGTCACTTTATACTGATACTAGGGTAGACACTCCACTTAGTCACATTGTACTGACACGAGGGAGGACATCCCACTCAGTCACATAATTCTGACAAGAATGACGTCATCCCACTCAGTCACATTATACTGACACGAGGAACGACATCCCACTCAGTCACATTATACTGTCACGGAGGACGACATCCCACTTAGTCACATTATACTGACACCGGGGACGACATTCCACTCAGTCACATAATACTGTCACGAAGTACGTCATCCCTCTCAGTCACTTTATATTGACACGAGGGACGATATCCCACTCAGTCCCTTTATACTGACACGGGGGACGACATCCCACTCAGTCACTTTATACTGACACAAGGGACGACATCCCACTCAGTCACATTATACTACATGTAACACGCGGGACGACATCCCACTCAGTCACAATATACTGACACGAGGGACGACATCCCACTTAGTCACATTATACTGACACCGGGGACGACATTCCACTCAGTCACATAATACTGTCACGAAGGACGTCATCCCTCTCAGTCACTTTATATTGACACGAGGGACGATATCCCACTCAGTCACTTTATACTGATACGGGGGACGACATCCCACTCAGTCACTTTATACTGACACAAGGGACGATATCCCACTCAGTCACTTTATACTGGTACGGTGAATGACATCCCTCTCAGTCACTTTATACTGACACAAGGGACGACATCCCACTCAGTCACATTATACTACATGTAACACGCGGGACGACATCCCACTCAGTCACAATATACTGACACGGAGGACGACATTCCACTGAGTCATATTATATTGACAGGAGGGACGACATCCTACTTAGTAACATTATATTGACACGAAGGACGACATCCTACTCAGTCACATTATATTGACAGGAGGGACGACATCCCACTCAGTAACATTATACTGACACGGTGAATGACATCCCTCTCAGTCACTTTATACTGACACGAGGGACGACATCCCACTCAGTCACATTATACTACATGTAACACGCGGGACGACATCCCACTCAGTCGCATTATACTGACACGAGGGACGACATTCCACTCAGTCACATTATATTGACACGAGGGAGGACATCACACTCAGTCACGTAATACTGTCACGAAGGACGTCATCCCACTTCGTCACTTTATATTGACACGAGGGACGATATCCCACTCAGTCACTTTATACTGACACGAGTGACGATATCCCACTCAGTCACATTATACTGACACGAGGTACGACATCCCACTCAGTCACTTTATATTGACACGAGGGACGACATCCCACTTCGTCACTTTATATTGACACGGGGGACGACATCCCACTCAGTCACTTTATACTCACACGGGGGACGAAATCCCACTTCGTCACTTTATATTGACACGGGGGACGAAATCCCACTCAGTCACATAATACTACATGTAACACGCGGGACGACATCCCACTCAGTCACTTTATATTGACACGAGGGACGACATCCCACTTCGTCACTTTATATTGACACGGGGGACGACATCCCACTCAGTCACATAATACTGTCACGAAGGACGTCATCCCACTCAGTCACTTTATATTGACAGTAGGGACGACATCCCACTCAGTCACTTTATATTGACACGAGGGACGAGTCACATTATATTGACACGAGGGACGACAGCCCACTCAGTCACATTATACTACATGTAACCCGCGGGACGACATCCCACTCAGTCACATAATACTGTCACGAAGGACTTCATCCCACTCAGTGACTTTATATTGACACGAGGGACGATATCCCACTCAGTCACTTTATACTGACACGGGGGACGACATCCCACTCAGTCACTTTATATTGACACGGGGGACGACATCCCACTTCGTCCCTTTATATTGACACGGGGGACGAAATCCCACTCAGTCACATTATACTACATGTAACACGCGGGACGACATTCCGCTCAGTCACTTTATATTAACACGAGGGACGCCATTCCACTCAGTCACATTACACTAAAAGTAACACGCGGGACGACATCCTACTCAGTCACACTATACTAACACGAGGGACGACAGCCCACTCAGTCACATAAGACTGTCACGAAGGACGGCATCCCACTCAGTGACTTTATATTGACACGGGGGACGAAAGCCCACTCAGTCACTTTAGATTGACACGAGGGACGAAATCCCACGCAGTCACATTATACTGTCACGAAGGACTTCATCACACTCAGTCACTTTAGATTGACACGAGGGACGATATCCCACTCAGTCAAATTATACTGGCACGGGGGACGACCTCCGACTCCGTCACATTATACTGTCACGAAGGATGTCATCCCACTCAGTACTCAGTCACTTTATACTGACAAGAAGGACGTCATCCCACTCAGTCACTTTATATTGACACGAGGGACGAAATCCCACTCAGTCACATTATACTGACCCGAGGGAGGACATCCCACTCAGTCACACTATACTAACACGAGGGACGACATCCCACTCAGTCACACTATACTGACACGAGGGACGACATTCCACTCAGTCACATTTTACTGACACGCGGGACGAGATCCCACTCCGTCACATTATATTGACACCAGCCACTACACCTCATGTTTATTTGTTTTTGTTCTCCTCTTTTTGCGAGTGGATTGCCGATTTACATGTACTATATTAAATATAAAAAATATTACTCAACGTACTGTATTATGCAGCGAATATTAACCCATGTAATATGACCTATCACCCTTGTGATTGGTTGTAAGTTTCAATTGGGGCAGTTATGACGTCACGCCTAGGACAAGTACATGACGTCACAGACGTACGCACTGGAGTCAAATGGCGGCTTTTTACATTTTAATGTTGCATGAAAACTGTCGTTTTACACGAATGAATGCCACAAATCTTGATTATGATATAAAATGGATCTTACACTCGTTACCATTTCGTATGAAATTTATGAAACTCGTCACTAATTTTTCATTTTAGCTCGCCTAAACAGAAAAATTCTTACACTCGTTTCATAAATCTCATACGAAATGGAAACTCATGTAAGATCCTATATTTACTACTATGTTTTACTTTATTCTGATCCGTTTTATTTTACAAAAAATGTCTTTGTTATGAAGATTTAACTTGTAAGTGTAGATTGCTCTACTACTGATATTGGTCTCTTATTGATGCGAGGAAGGATATGAAAATGGTCCGATGATATCATAACTTTTTATATTATTTAGTAAATCAGACTTATAACTAGTTAAACAAATATAGCGTCAATGTAATTATTTAATATGCTAAGCCAGATCTAAAAATATTTTTTAATATTTTGTGCGTGACAGGCAGATATTGCGAGTGCCGGGCGGATATGACAAGTGCAGACGTGTACGGCGCATGCGATCGGATCGTGGTCTGCCCCGGATGTGGCCTTTGTACAGCTAGCAAGCCCTCTCGCACATGCAAAATGGCCAACATCACGGAAAAGTTTATGATAAATGGAGAAATAAACGCATATGGAAAACATTTATCTAGCTTATGACGTAACAGTGATGTAAGGAAACAGCCATGACGTCACTACTACCTGTTACCAACGTGGTAATTGATAGTAACTCAGATTTTTTTCTGATTATTTACGGAAGTTTTAAGAAACAGGCGAGCCCATGCGTGGGTATGTTGCGAGTACTCTATTTGTCATGTAAATTGGCTCTGCCTTGCTACCAAGCATTGTACAATGGTTCAACATTACGGAAAACCTGTCCGCTAGCTACATGTATGTAGCTGTAGTCCTCCTACCAGCGAGCGCAGACGCGCGTTGCAAAGGACGCCTCGCCCGTAGCTAGGCGAGCAGCAAGGAGTAATCAATTTCAGTAGTACCGTGAATAGCAACGTTTTACCGGGCGAATGTGGTTTTACCGTCAAACAACGATAGGAACTTGTTGAACAATCGGAAAACAACTATAGTTATAAACGTATATACATTGGATTACCTAATGGAACGGAAAGACAGAATTGTTTAAAAAAAATGGATGTCAGCTTTTAATGGAATTGGACATTTCTATATTACGATAAGTGTATTGAGGACCTACCCTTTAGCATAATGTGTTTGTGAGCATTTTGTTAGTTTTCTTAAAAAGAATAATATTTTGTACATTTAATGTTTTGGCAAATTTCTTAATATAACCTTTGTTTGGTGTTTTCATAAAGGATTTCCTAATTGTGCGTGTGTACACTTCAAGTATTTTTGTTTTGCTTTGAGCATCACTTAACAGATCCTTCCGAGCAAATCCGTGTGTGGTTTTCATCAGAAAAGTGATACATTTTCTCTGGGATGTGTTTTATCTTCAGTCAAACTTGTGATTTCTAGAAACAAGTGTGTGACTATTATTGCAGTGGGAAAGAAGACTTGGCGTGACGATGCTTTCAACGCAAAATACTTAGGGTGAAAATGGCGAAAAAGATACGTTGGAAATTTTTGATTTCAGTATAATGCGTTGAAGGAAAAGCTTCATTAGTAAGCGAGACAGGTAAGTTATTTTATTTCCTCTGTTTTGTCTGTTCTTCTCTCACTCTCTCTCCGTACATAGGCGCTGATTGAGCTAAAAGTGTTAAATCAACACTCGAGGATTAAGTGGTGTTACTTACGATCATATCTACGTATAGCGAACACCTATTTTAACGAATAAGTTAAGCGATTGTTTGATATAATAATCATAGCCTTAATTGATATTGCTTGATTGTCGTTAACACTGATTATTTGTTTGTTTGTTAGTATATTAAAACAATTGACAATTTATATAAAGCACGGAGGATATAAAGTACAAACTATGTACTCTAGACCCCGCTTTGAAATCATCATGAGATGCAGATCAACAGGAATTGTTTTATTACTTCAGTCATGGAGTATATCAATATTTGCTCGCGTGATGTGTTTGTGTAATGGAGGCGAGCCATTTAGCTAATGTAATGTATTAACATCGGGCGAGCACAGTGTCATGTTTTTTTTTAATTCTCCGTGGAACACAGATTGGCGGATTTGGCAACAAGCGCATTGGGCAGCATGTCAAAGCCTATATTACGACTGGATACTATTTATGACGTCACATTTCACATTATGGCCTCTATACCTTTATCTTACAACAGAATCACACATGTGACGTCATATACCACATTAGGGCCAATAAGCTTTTTTTGATAAAATACAATTTGTTTTTTCATATTTCACATGGTGGCTTATATGTCTTTATGATAGAACTGGATACGATTTTTGACGTCATATTTTACACTATGGCCCATGAGTTCTATCACATAATTGGATACCTTTTATGACGTCACATACCCTGCAATGTCCATTGATATTTGATCATATCTCTTTCTCGGGGATCTGTTTTTGTGGCACTGTCTGTGCTATTGGGCCATGACGTATTTATTACATCTTGGGTCAATGGAATGGTTGAAACATGACTGCTGTTTATGGATCACGAGAAACCAAACCCTGAAAATCCGTAGTTATTATAGCTGGGAAAAGTGAGTCAATTTAAACTTGAATGTTTAATTAAATAAACCGCATAATATAGAATCTTAAAGAAGTTTACATATTACATATGGTACATTTTCATGACGTCATTATTTTGTTTGTATTGACGTCACAACTTTGAACACAACGACTTTGATAGTCTGCAAACTTCTTACTAGCTGATTGAAAATTATGAGTTTGAAAATTCCGCCGGATTTATGAACCGAGTCGAGAAGCGTCCGTTTCTGCGATTCTTGTCCTGCCTGAAATGCAAATATTGGGGCGAGTTTCATGAATTTCACAAAAAGAAATGACCACCGTAAGGTGTTTTTTTTTATCATATTATTAACAAATATTCGAGAGAAAAAAACCTCTGGCTATTTGAGTCTTCTACATCGTTATTTTTACTTCAGATCTACTGTCTTGTAGTGGTACATGTATGACACGACACGCCAAACAAGTATCACAAGTACACTATACACGGTAGCTATGCGATTTAGCGGAATACCAGTTGTGACGCCAGATACATCTACATTTAAGGAGCACATTAAGGTGTACAAAGAAACCGGGACCCTGAAGTTGGTTCCTAGATCCTAGTTCCGCTTAAGGAATGGAACTTCGAACAAAATACTTTAGGTCTATTTCAGAAAAAACAGATCATAACCAGCCTCTTTTAATCGACTGGGAACTCAAATCTGAATCCAGTACAGGAATCGAACCCACAACCTTTCACACGAAAGATAAGACTACCATAGCCTCTCTAAAGTTCGATTCCTATACTGGATTCAGATTTGAGTTCCCAGTCGATTATAAGAGGCTTGCTATAATGTTTTTCTGAAACAGACCAAGTATTTTGGTCGAAGTTCTATTGCTAGCGTTACTTCAATTTTAAACGGAACTAGGGTCTGGTTCCCAGTTCCGTTTTTCTTAAACGGAACCAGGAACCAACTTCAGGCTCCCGACATCTCTTGCGACGTCACATATCGCACAGAGGTTGAGGTAGACTGTAGGTAGTCTCAGAGAACAATATTTCTTCATTGATATTCACGATTACTAAGCTGACATTCTTAAGATTTATTTGAACGAGCTAATTCAAATAATCACGTTTGATACGATGTGTTTTTCTTTCTTTTGTAAGCAACTAGCACCTACATGTAACTTATAGAACTATACACCATATGTGACGTTTTACACAATCTGGCAATTTGATAAAAACATAATTTTATGTAATATGCAATCGCAATGATTTCAAAACCGCTGTTTTAATTTGCTGCGTATGAAATGTATTGACTGTTGTTATTTAAGATGTCACGTAACGAGACCTGGGAACAGTATTGTTTGCGAGTTGCCAGGACCACTTAGAGCTGTAAACACTGTTTCATGAGGCTCAGCAAAATCGATTATTTGCAACATTTGTGAAAAGATAATTCGGTCCTTCAATTTAAATTTAAATACTAAACACATTGTTATAAACATATGTTGTTTACACATCGTATGCTCAGTTAATTAATTTAACGATCTCGAGCCACATGGCGTTTGTATATTATTTACAGATCTCGTTGACAGACATGTGAAAAAGTCATCATTAGCGGCAAACATCAGGTATTACTGAAAATAATTATTTTTCGTGAGCTGTATGTCCGCATTAATTGGCAAGGAAGTTTACACATTGACCAATTATTATTAGTTGATACAACGAGAATTGGAAAATGTTCGAGATTTGATTACGAGTTAAGTATCTGACATACATGTAATAGCGACATGTATATCTCTGATCCTGTTCACACGAACGCGAAAAAAGACCGGGAAAATAAAAGTGTGATTGTCGTTGATTTATCAGCAAGAGTAACAGATTTTTAAAAAGTGTCTAAAACGCCGATATTTTTCATTCAAAACAATCATTCACAATCATTATCGAATATAAGGACGAATTTAATAATTCTGTAGATGGTTGGAGTATTTACTTGAGAATTCTATCATCGTCTTCGAAGCATTTGATCATGGCAGACATCCTTCTGATACTCTGGTCAACCTTGAGGCAAAACTGATCGATAGTTCGATCCACAGGGAAGTTATAACGATACTAAATAGACTGGTGGTCACACGTTAGAGGATATTACAAATAGGGGTAGATAAGACAGAAGAATGCGGGGGTGGCTGTAGACACGAGATCATAATACATTTTGCAGCATCATCGAACATTAATGCTTCGAGCGCCATAAGGTACTAGTATGATATAGACACCGTAACACATGGCCTTTGAAGCATCGAAAAAGCCTTTCTACGCATGCGTAATTGCAAAAGTAGTCGAACGTTGTTTGTATATATTCTCTTTAAGTATCGATCACAGCTGTTGTCAGCCGGATAACTTATCGATTGGTTGCCATTCTACTTTAATCATCTTTTAATATATCATTAAATAAGTTTAATCCGTAATGCCGCAAGGAAAGAGAATTGTTATGTCTAAATATGGTAATGGTTAAATGTGGTCATACCTAAATATAGCCCTGTTTTGAAAGAACCACCACAGAACACGTGCTATACCGGAAATAGCACACGTTAACAAGCTCCAGCCAAGTGTACATGTATACGGGTAATAGTTATATAGTAGGTGGAATATGGGCCATGTATACAGGTAATAGTTATATAGTAGGTGGGATATGGGCCAAGGTTGGGATGCTCTTTATCGTAAGTTCAACTACAGCTTGCTGATTTACAAATTTTGTAAATATATCGACTTGGAAAATCTAATGACAAAACCAGTGTTTTAACCTTTGTTATGAATTAGTGAGGTCATTAAATGTTCCCTGTGATGTTTTATGTATATATAATACCGCATAGCAACTTGCGCATATGATGAAGATATATATATATACATGTTTATATACATGTTGTTATTTAAGATGTCACGTAACGACAATTACGTATATTTTATTTGTTCTATATTTACTTCCTTCACATGGACATTTAATCACTTTTTTTTATATATACATGTATATACAGGTTTAGTACAAATTATATGTGAAATATGGGGCTGAAATAATTTATACTTTAGTGATTTCCTTTTTTAAGTTTTCAAAATCATATGCTGATTTATATATTGAACATTCAAGAACAACTGGCCTATCTATTTCTCATTAGGAACTATATTTGTTTTCCATAAAATCTGTTTCATTCGTTTATGTCGACAAACGGTTCATTAGGTTGTGTCCAGTTCCTGTGACCTAACAAAGTTAAACCAAGTGTACACGGCTCGGACTCAATCAGGATGCTAAATGTTGATATTTATCTTGCAAACTATTGTATGAGTTTAATTTCATTACTGAATAGTCTGATCGACAGGAAATATAATATGTATGACACATGGGAGCCAATAAACACCTCTTACAGGTAAATGTAGCATGCTTTACGCGCTACGCGTGATCTCGTGTGATTATCACCATACGTCCATTTGTTTACACGTCTGTCTGCAAATTATGGTACAATGATGTACCTTTAAAAATAGAAACTAGCCTAGTCTATATAGCACAACTTCTCACATAGCTGCAGAATCACGGTTTTATTATAACCACAACACATACATATGATCGTGTATGGTTTGGCACGACGTACCAAGTACACGAAGCTGTAGAGTTATAATCACAGATCCTAGTAAACATCCCCGGTGTGCATTGATCAAGATAGTTGTGATCAAACTTGCCCTTCTGACACGCGATGTGTGTCTAATATAAGCCCATGATAAATGCGGGCGTTGTGCATTTGTATGACGTTTTAAGTCTTTCTGTGAACAATCGTGACCCTATCGATGGGGATTGGGTTGTATGGTAATGGCTCTACAACAGGTAGTAATGCCTCTGGTGTGTGATATTTATCAATTATGGACTTTTGTTGAGGTAAATAATTAATTTATTTCAATCCAACAGGCCATAAGGCCCACTTACAGGTGGGTGATATAAAGTGGTTATATAAACTTGATAAAGTGATATTAACCGAAACAGCGTTAGAACTAGA